ATAAGGTATAGTAGGTAGCGTCTAGCCCATCCTACTTTCAACTTTATTTTGTATGTTAATTAATTACTTTAACAATCAATTGGCCTATATACTCCTGGCTCAGGGATCATAATCACAAATAAAATAAAGTCTCTGCCCTAAGAGAATTTGCAGACTAGGGAAGTGAAGCTGGCCTGGAAAGAAATGAATATAGTGGAACTTGATAAATACCAAGATATAATCTCACCAATGGAAGTGAGGGAGGGGGGAATTCAATCCATTTCAACTGGGGTAGTGGGTGTGGTCGGTCAGATTACCTTCATGAACAGTGAGACAGACGAGTATGCGTGTGTGTATGTGTGTGTGTGTATGTGTGAGTGTGTGTGGGGTGTTGGTGTGTGTGGGGGTGAAATGTAGACTGAAGGTTGGGTATATGGGAGTGGAATAGCACATTGCACTGGGATAGGTAAACACCTGTTGTTTCGGTGGAGCAAACAATGGGAAGGGACGATCTAGTCCTTTTCCCCAGAAAGCAACAGGTTGGGAGGCACTCTGCTTCCATCTGTTAATAGGAGTGCTTAGTACATTGACATTTAGCATGTTGATATTTTTGTTGAATTTTTGTCATTTTTTGGTATGTCTCCTGTTTGTTTTTTTTTTGTCACTTTCACCTCCTTTCTTGCATTCTTTGGGTTGTTTTAGAATTCTGTTTTAAATTTAACCTTGACCCTCTTGCTCCTGCTGCTAAGTCCCAGCAGCCCTCTTTGCTTCTGCTTCCGGGCAGAACAGTGTTTACTTCCCCAGGCTGAGTCTTGCAATGAGAGAGCGTGTGAAGCTGACTCACAGTGCTGAGTGAGAAGAGCATGGAGCTGCCCACAGTCTACCCATAGCCAGGGGCAGAGTTACAAAAACCACCCACTCCCAGCGGATTTGCAGCGGGGAGTGAATATCTTACATGCATACTAGAGGCCCAGTGTACTAGGTTGCAAGTCTCACCTAGTGAAAGCTGACCAATGCTGTCTTTGAAGAGCAACGTCCAGTACTCTGAGCAAATCAGGCCCTGACTTTTTAGCAGCCCAAGCTTGTTTACAAATATAACAGTGTTTCCAAGTGGAAGTGTGGACACAAGTGACGCCAGTCTTGTGACCAGTTGTTGGGCAAACCTCTCTATAGAAATGTGCACCCAGCCCAAATATGACCTTGGTGATGAGTTTTGTGGTCAAGATGCCAAAAGCAAGGGTAACAAAAGCACCTGTCAGAGTGGCTGTTATCACAAAGACAAGAAAAAGCAAGTACTATTAGAGAGGATGTGGAGAAAAGGGTGCCTTGTGCACTGTTGGTAGAAATACAGGATTGGGTAAAAGTAGGTTTACAGTTGTTCATATGGAAAATAATACAAAAACTACTACAAGAAGAAATTCTGTTTTGCATATTCACAACTGTAAACCTATGTTTGCCCCACCCTTATAAATCAGTGTAGTCACTATAGAGGTTTCTCAAGGGGGAAAAAAAAAAAAAAGGAACTATCATATGATCCAGCAATTTCACTTCTGGGTATTTATCTGAAGAAAATGGAAACACTAATTGGAAAAAATATATGCACCCTAAGTGTTCATCAGTGAGTAAATGGATCAAAAACGAACCTTGCCATTTCTGTTAACGGATGGACCTTGAGTGTATTATGCTAAGTGAAGGAAGTCAGACAGAAGAAGATGAGTACTAGATGATCTTGCCTATGTGTGGAATTGAAAAAAGAGAACTCAAAGTACAGAGAATAGATAGTGGTTGCTAGAGGCAGGGTGAGAGGGTGGGCAAATGGGTGGCGGCTAAGAAGTTACACATTTCCAATTATAAAATAAATAAATCAAGGGGATATAATATGCAGCATGGTGATTTTATAAATAATGCTGAATTGTATATTTGAAAATTGCTAGGAGAGTAGATCTTATAAGTTCTCATCACGAGAAAAAAGTTTTGTAATTATGTATAGTAATAGATAACTAGCTTATTGTGCTGATTGTTTTTGCAATATATACAAATATAGAATCATTATATTGTGTACCTGAAACTAATGTATTATATACTAATTATTTCTCAATAAAAATTATTGGGTGTAGGGTGTATTTTTGGAAGCTAACTATTTTGGAAATCAACCCTTCTGCTTAATAGTTTTGTTAATAAATAGATTGACTTTACAGATGGCATATCAAACTCAATTAATTCTGACCAGAAAGTAACAACAGTATATTGAAACTGAGGTATAAAACACACCTAATTTAAAAATCTTGCACCAAAAGTAGATGTTCACTACCTCAGTTTTAAGATGATAATTCTTCTAATTTTTCACATGGAAATGAGAATTGCCTCACAGCTGTGTACTGTGATATTCTAAAATAATTTTGATTGATATATGTCCCTATTTTTGGTTGGGGAATTATTTATTTTGAAGTTTAAGGAATATGTCCTAATGTTTGGATTCATATCGTGAGAAATATTATGTTTTAAAATCCAAGAAATAAAATATAGAACATATCCTGATGATAGGTTACTAAAAGTAGCCACATTGAAATAAAATGATGGACACTGAATTAATCCTCTTTATGATAAGTTAGTCAGTACAAGACATAAACTGACATGCTCCTTTTCATTACTTAATTTGTTATCATGAGCAGAAATATGTGGCTAAATTATAAGCTATTTGTGAAGGGGGAGTATGATAAAAGTAGAGCAAATTTCTTTAGTAAGCAAATTTGCATACATAAATTGAAATCTTATTTCAGCCTTTAGGAATCATTAAAAGACTTGAACGAAAAAGAAGAAATGACTTTATTGAGTTATTATGTATAATTACAAACTTTTCTTGTGTGATTAATATTTTTAGTGAAAGAAAGATGTCTCTACTGCTAAAAACCAATTGGTCCAGCAGCTGTCAGTAGGCATCAAATAGTCCATGCAATCTCTCTAGCATATCAAGTTTCCGCATAAGCATGGGTCTATTTCTAGGCTCTTTATCCTATGCTACTGATCTATTTCTCTATCCTCCTACGAATAGTTGATGATTACATTAATCACTGGAGCTTTGTGGATCTTGAATTCGGATAGGCAATTTCCTCTCCACTTCTCCAGAAGTGTCTTACGTATTCCTGGTTCCTTGCAAAAGATTGAATTTTAGACCTAGCTGGTTTGGCTCAGGGGATAGAGCGTTGGCCTGCAGATTAAAGGATCTTGGGTTTCAGTCAGTCAAGGGCAAGCACCTTGGCCCCAGGCTTGATCCATGACCCAATAGCTATACAACCAAAGGTTGTCTCTCACATTCATGTTTCTCTTTCTCTGTTTCTCACCTCCCCCCATTTTTACTCTCTCTAAAAAAAAAGAAAGTTTGAATTTTAGTCCTGGCTGGTGTGGCTCCGTTGGTCAAGTGTGGTCCTCCATGCATCAAAAGGCTGCCTGTTGGATTCCTGGTCAGGACACATGTCCAGGTTTTGGGTTCCATCCCTGAACAGAGTATGTGATGGAGGCAACTCATCAATGTTTCTCTTTCACATCCATGTTTGTTTGTATTTTTTCTCTCTTCCTTCCTCTCTAAAATCAATAAAAAAATATTTTTGAAAAGTTTGAATTTTAGATTTAGCTTGTCAAATAAAAATTCTTTTGGGATTGTATTTAGAATTGAAATGGGGATCTTGGGGCGAATTCTAGGGCAATATTTACAATGTTGAGTCTTCCCATCAATTTGTAACCTCTCCGTTTATTTAGCTTCTTTGTTGTTGCTGTTGTACGTTAGTTACCAGTATTCCTGAATTACCTGGGGATTTTCCCTCAACAATTTTAATACTTTCTTATCCATTGGTGATGTTGACTGGCTTCCACTGCTTACCTGGCAAATTTTTACTTAGCCTTGAAGTCTCATTTCAAATGCTACCTCCTGGGTGAAGGTTCCCCCATTGCTCCTGCCACTCAGAGGATTTATTACATTTGTCATCTAATTGCAAAAGGAAGTGTTTACTGATTGTTCACTATATGCCAGAGCATTTGTGAAGCACTCGCTGAGCATTAGTCCATATAATTTACAAAGCAGCCTTTTGAAACCAGAGTTGGTGTTAGTCTCTCCACTTATGAAGTAAAGAAGCCCAAGAGGCAACCTGTCTAAGGCACAGAGCCAGGAGGAGGCAGGGCCAGGAGAGGGTGGGGGCAGGCTGGCTCCGGAGCCCATGCTCTGAGCGTGTGACATTCTCTTTCAGGCAGTTGTGTTGTTGCACTGAAGTGGTTCACATGCATTCACACAGCCCAGAGGAAGTGTTTGGAGTGCACACACGGAACCAGACGCTGTGAAAGGTGCTGGTTGAACATACGGTGTTGAATAAAACAGACATGAAATAAAAATCACACCAGGACGAATATAGGCACACAGAGTGGGAGCAGGGAAGCCTCGCCTCCTCTGGGATCGCCCAAGAGAGCCTAAAGCCTTGGGTGGGAGAGGGTGCGCTGGAGGGGGAGGGGGAAGGTGGTGCAAAGGGAGGAGGGAGGATAGATGTCTGTTGCCCAAAGCAGCATGAATGCCTCGGAAAGCCAGGAGTGGGATGCTGGAAGGAGAGGCCTGCGGGGCGCACTGCCTGGGGCAGGGCCATCGACTCTGCTGGAGACCCCCTCGGCGATGTGGGTGCGAGGGCGGAAGCACTTGAGGAGGAAAGGGGCAGAGGTCCGAAGGACAGATCTGAGAGACCCCAAGGCCTGTGCAGACTCTCACCGGGGACCCCTGCGGACGCAGAAGCGGGGCCAGTCGTCAAAGCCTTTGGAATGAGTGACCGATCACATTCCGCTGTCCACTCAGGCGGCGCAGGCCGGGCTGGGACAGCGCCTGGGGGCGGGTCCGACGCGCGGGGGTCCGCGGGCGCCTCCAGTTGGGGGCAGGCGGGCCCCACGAGTCCCTCGAGATGGCCCCGCGATGGGTCTCGAGGACGCCTCACCGTTGGGGGGCAGAGTTGCCAGTGCCCCTGAGGCCGTGGCCCCTTCTTAAGCCCGCGGAGCCTCTGGCCGCCTCGCCAGCCTCTCCCGCCTCACTCCAACCCTCCCCCCCTCCCCCAGCACCATGGCTTCAGCACTGAGCTATGTCAACAAGTTCAAGTCCTTCGTGATCTTGTTCGGCACCCCGATCCTGCTGCTGCCGCTCATCATCCTGGTGCCCACCAAGGTCAGTTGGGTCTCCCCGCAGCCCCGGGGGTTCCAGGCTACCGGTCCCACCAACGGGCTTCGAAGGAAGGCAGGCCACGGAGTGGGGGGGCAGGGATACCGAGGCGGCACAGCTCCCCGGGGAGCTCAGGGGCCAGACGGGAGGTGTCCTAGGGGCACCCCAACCTTGGGGTTTACGGATCCCAGGACACAAGAATCGTCCCAGCAAGCACGGAACCTGGCTGCTAGCACAGATCTCTCCACACAGAACACCCACAGGCTCAGCCTGGCCTCAGTCTCTCCAGAGACTCCCGCCCCTCCCCTTGAGTGCCCTGGCCTGGCCTTTCCCTCCTCTCTCCTTCTCTTTCCTCTCTCCTTCTCTCTCCTTCTCTCTCCTTAGCGAAGAAGGACTTCCCAGCTGTAAGGGCTTCTGATATCAGCCAGGCACCTAAGTGGATCCTGAGTGCTGTCTTTGTCACTCTCCGGCCCCATTTTGTGCCTCCGTTTCCCCATCTTTGGCCCACTTCTCTTCCCAACTCGGAACCCCTGGACGCCATGGCTGAGTCAAAATCCTCCTGGGGCTGAAAGGCGGTCAGGGTGGGTCTGCTGTGCGCGCTGCCTGCTGTGGCTGAGGCGGGAGGCGGCCAGGTTCCCAGAGCTCACGCCCTGGGTGGCAGGACTCAGGGTGGCAGGGAAGGCCCTGGCCTCCCAGCGCTCCTGGGAGGGAGGCAGAGAATGAATGGCCTTGGCCACAGGCTGAGGGCGGTGCTGGGCTGTGTGGAGCCTGTTTGGCAGAGACCAGAGCCCTTTGAAGGCTTTTGTGGCTGCTCCTTCCTCACTCCCTCCTCCAGCCCTTTCACTCTCAGCCCAGACAGGAAACCCCCGGACCCCTGTCCCTCCAGGCAGCTTGGGGGAACAGAGGAGTTCTTTCGGGGATACGGGGATACGCTGGAGCAGTCCTGGAGGCCTGGGGTGGACTGGGGTATCAGGAAGGCAGATCTGCAAGAGAACCCGACTTCATTCTCACTTCCTTGTGATTTCAGTGAAGCCTCTGAGCCATGCTAGGCTACATGCCAGCTGCTGACTTTTAAATCCCGCCTCTGGTCGGCATGGCTCAGTGGTTGGGCATTGACCTAGGAACCAGGATGTGTTGGTTCGATTTCGGGTGAGGGCACATGCCCAGGTTGATCCCCAGTGTGGGGTGTGCAGGAGGCAACCAGTCAATGATTTTTCTCTCACCTTTGATGTTTCTATATCACTCTTCCTCTCCTTTCCTCTCTGAAATCAATAAAAACCATATTTTAAAAATTCCACTCCACGTTTGTGTGGGCTTGGAGTGCCTTGCCAGCCACATTCCCGCCTGCCCCCAACTGGAGGCGCCCGCAGACCCCCGCTCATTTACCCCCAGGGAGCAGGCCCAGAGTCCATCTCACTCGCCTGGTGACCGCTCCTCCTCAGACCAGTCTAAAGGAGCCCATCCTGCCTGCGCAGCCTCTCCTGCAGAGCATTCTAGGCCAGGAGGGTCAGGTCCACCTCCGAGATGGGGTGTCTCTGGGCCCCGATAGTGGATGGAGGCGCGGGGCCAGTTCAGCTTTTATTTATTTATTTATTTATTTATTTATTTATTTATGTTTTACAGAGAAGGAGAGAGAGGGATAGAGAGTTAGAAACATCGGTGAGAGAGAAGCATCCATCAGCTGCCTCCTGCACACCCCCTACTGGGTATGTACCCAAAACCAAGTACATGCCCTTGACCGGAATCAAACCTGAGACCTTTCTTTTTCTTTTTTTCTTTTTTAAAATGTATTTTATTGATTTTGTACAGAGAGGAAGGGAGAGAGAGTTAGAAACATCGATGAGAGAGAGTCATCGATCAGCTGCCTCTTGCACACCCCCTACTGGGGATATGCCCGCAACCAAGGTACATGCCCTTGACCGGAATCGAACCTGGGACCTTTCAGTCCCCAAGCCGACGCTCTATCCATTGAACCAAACTGGTCTCGACGCAAACCTGAGAACTTTCAGTCCACAGGCTAACGCTCTATCCACTGAGCCAAACCGGTTTCGGCTCAGCTTGTCTTTTCCGTTGTTTTTTTTTGGTGCTTCCGGGACTGTGCTGTGAAATTGGTTACAGGTACCACCAGTTGTGTCAGAGTTTAGATACTAAAGACTCACCCAGCACTTCCTGTTAAAAGGGTCCTCCTAGCCCCTCAGTTTACAGGTGAGGACATGAACCCGCAGGGAGGGGGCCGGGTTGGGAGTGAGACGAGTGTTTGCTCCATGGCACTGCTGAGTGACTGCTGAAAGCCAGACAGTGGCAGACAGTGGGCACTGGTCGGTCTGCCTGGTGTGGAGCCTGGGCTCCTGCCTTGAGCCCGTGGCGGCATCAGCATCGATGCCTGCACCCCTCAAGCAGGGGCATCAGCAAAGCCCTCTCAGGGGTTGTCCCAACTGGAGAGAGTGTCACGCCAGCTAGTGGTGTGGAGGCCAGGGACTCGGAGGGAAGTCTTACAAGCACAGGGCACCGCACCCCTCAGCAAAGAATCTGCCAGCCCAAAATGTCCGCAGTGGAAAGGCTGAGAAACCCGCACTAGGCAGGGCGAGGGGTCCTGAGGTTATCGTGGGGCGCCGAAGAAAGGCTTCCTTTTTATGCCAGCTAACACAGTCCAGACAAAGAATTTCTGTCCTCACACAATATCCCCTGCACGTAACACGTGCTCTCAGGGTGATGTTAAGCAGTGAGAGTGGACAGGTGCGTCTCTCCAGCAGCGTGGTCGTGGTCATAGCTGGAACTATGCTAGTCCATTCCTTGAATCCCCTCAGGGTCAGGCCCGAGGACAGAGTGAATCCACAAACCCTGGTCTGGTCTCAGGTGCTTCCTGTTCTGTGGTGGTGATGGTTGTGGTTGTGGTGGTGGTGGTGATGGTGGTGGTGGTGGTGGTGGTGGTGGTGGTGATGGTCAGACATTAAGGAAACAACAATGGCAACCGCATGTGCCAATTGCTCTGGCTGGGGGAGCAGACAAAGAGGCAGGCACAGACCCAGGCTGTGGAAGAGGCGGGGGAGGCACCTAAGGAGAAACACAGACTGCCACCAGGTGGGGTGTGTAAGAGGGGGCCCAGTTTCTGCCAGTTGCTGGGGTAGCTGGAACTCGGGGTGTGAGTGGGCAAGGAGATGGAGCTGGAGGGGTGTGCAGGACGTGCTCCATCCGGGAGAGTCTCCTGTTATGCTAAGGCATTCGGGTTTTGTCCTGGAGACAAAAAGGGCATTTAAAAAGTGGGTGATATAGTCAGACTTGCAAAAGAGTAAAAGGGAGCCACCTTGTGCTAGGCTAGGGAGTGATACAATAGGAAGGTCAAATAAAATATAGCTGTAGTCATCCAGGAAGGGAAGTGTGTCCTGAACAAAGGCAATGGGCTGGGGTGAAGGCAGGAGGAGGAGGAGGCCAGAGAAGAAAGGGCTAAAAGCTATATATAGGTCTTGGCGTTAATGTAGTAGGCTGGGATGGACTGAGGGGGAGGGTAGAACCTGGGTGGTTAATAATGATTCTGATAAAAGTGCTGGAATATGAAACTACCTTGGGAGGTGAGGGAGGCAGCAGCATGCCCAAACCTCAGGGCTGTCTCTTCAGTCTGCCAGGTGTGCCTACGCCATCATCATCATGGCCACTTACTGGTGCACAGAAGTCATCCCTCTGGCTGTCACCGCCCTCTTGCCTGTCTTGCTTTTCCCACTCCTCAAGGTTCTGGACTCCAAGAAGGTGAGCGACCCCGAGGATCCTGGGGGCTTCCTGCTTCTCCCCTGGGCTCCTTCCCAGAGCCTCGCTCGGAGCAGTGTAGACCCCAGGAGACCAGAGATGCTTCCTGTGGGTTCCTTTTGGCATGGAGACATACCACTTGACCCTGCATCCCACTCCCAACTGACCCTCACGTCAGCATCTGGTCTGCTAGCCTGTCTCTGGGGACTTGGGTGGGCCTGGGCCAAGCAATGTGTGGCCAGGAGGCAGCCCTGACTGGGCCTCCATGCCACCACCTTCCAGGTGTGTGTCCAGTACATGAAGGACACTAACATGCTGTTCCTGGGAGGCCTCATCGTGGCTGTGGCCGTGCAGCGCTGGAACCTGCACAAGAGGATCGCCCTGCGCATACTCCTCTTGTTGGGGACCAATCCTGCACGGTAATTACGCCTTTTCTTCTGGCTCTCTATGGGCCCCAGGGCTGGGAGGAGCTGTGGCACAGCCCAGGTCACCCACTGGCAAGGGCTACCCATGGGCTTACCTGGGCTTGGCAGGCAGGTGGACCCCTCGGTGGGGTATGTGACAATCTCAGCTGAGGACACCAGATGCATGGGCAATGGTGGGGCCTGTGGTGAGTGGCAGGAGGTAAGGGATCTCTGAATCCGGAGGAGACTGGTCAGCAAGGGCCCCTGCATGTAAAGAGGGCTTCCTGGGGGAGGGGCTGCAGGGTTCCACAGGTAGCAAGGTGGGTGGAGGCTGGAGCCAGCCAGGCCTGATAGAGCATTTGTGGGGAAAGCGGCCAGAGGTGGCTCAAGGAGGAGCAGAAAGGTCATCCTTCCAGAGCTCACACCCACTAAGCTAGCCTCTGTAGAGAAGCTTCTTACCTCATCTTCCCCATGTCACTCACAACCTCAGCTTCTCCCCTCTCTCCAAGATCGCCCCTCCAACCACAGGCAGCTTCCAACCAACCCATGGAGTTGACATCCTCAGATCCCCCTGGTTCTGAGCATCTGCAGCGCCCAGGCATGACTCTGGGAGCGCACTTATCTCCTCACTTATCTCTCTCCACAACTCTGAGAGTTGGGTTTTATTCCTCCACCCAGCTTCTATAGATGAGGCATTTGAGACAGAGAAGGGTGAAATGCTGAGAAATGAGGCCTTGGCCCCTGAGTTCAGCTCTAGTAGAGACGCCAGGATGCAATTCTCTTTTGAGGCAACGTGCCCAGCCCAGCCCCGGAGAGGCAGCAGTTGGTTACTTCACAGCAAATCCCTTCAGAGATGTCCATGTGTCAGGGACTGTGCCGGCCCCACGCACACAGAGCCTGGCGCATCCCCAGGAGTTGCTGCCTAGCTCCCTTGGCACCTCAGGCTCCGCTGAGCAGAAAGCTTTGCGCCTTTCTGGTCTCTGTTACCCTACGTGGTATCTATCCCCTCCAGTGATTAGTCTACAGGGTCAAATAAAAAACCATTGCATTTTCTAGAAGAATGAGACCTCGGTGGCCTCAGAATTCTTGCTCTCAGGATCCTTGGATTGGCCAGACTTCCTCCACCAGCAGGTGGTCCTCATTCTGAGAGAGCTGAAGGACTTTGGTTCCACATCCAGAAGTTCACGCAGACTTCTCTGCTCCTTCCTGTCACTGGGCTTCTCCTCTGAGCTTGGTTTCCAGCTCCATGGCACTTGCCTGGCCTAGGTAGACCTTTATGTTGAGGCCATGGTGTCTTGAAGCATCAGGTCAAAGCCTCATATATGAAAACTCTGCTCCTCCTTCCAGCCTGGACCCAAGCCTGTGTTCTGTGGGTCTGTGAGATCAGCCTGCATGGACACGAGCTTGGACCTTGCCTTGGTGCAGTGCAGCACCTAGATCTTTTCTCCAGGAAAGTTAGTGACCCTGAGGAGAGGCCTGGCTGCAGAGGGACATGGAGAGCGAGAACGGTTTTGTTCCATCCAGCCCTCCCTGAGCTCCTTCTGTTCCTGGCCTTGTGCTGAGTCTGTGGAAGCCATGGAGAAGAATCAGGCTCTTCCCCTCCCTGCTCACCACCAAGAGAAGAGCAGATATGGGCACGGGTCTTCCAAATCCAGCCACTGATGAGTGTTGGTGGGGCTGGAGGAGGGTGTGTCCGCCCCTGCATGGTGGCCACTGGGAGGAAGGCTACAGAGGAGGGACTTTGATTAGAAGAACCATGAGGGGTGCTCTAGGCAGATGGCAGAGGTGAGACAGCGGTGAAAGGACAGGTGTTATAAATGAAGGGAACATGTTTTCTGAGTACTGTTTGATCTGGTCCATTGCAGAGTGGAGGGAGTACAAGGTGTGTGTGCAGAGAGAGGCAGTGGGGCAGTCAGCCATGAAGGAGGTCCCACTTTCCCAGGCTCACCCTACCCCTCAAGGCTAACTATTATGAGAGGAGAAGCAGGGTCTGGGGTGGGTGGGAATCTTCTAGATAGAAGTGGGTGGGGTGTTGGGGCTGCTTGCCCATAGGGCTGTCCAGCACACCCTTAGGACACACTAGGGCCAACCTCCACCCTGGGTTGACACCCTCTGGATGCCTGTGCTGCCCCTTCTGGATAGGAGCTCCTCAGAACCACGACTGGGTCTGAGACAGGCCTCTTGGTGCCCCCTGCCCCTCCCCTATAGCCAGCAGGGAAGAAATCAGTAATGTCTACGGGGAGAGGTAGGAGGAAAGGGAAGGAGGCAGAAGGAAGGAAAGGAGGAAGAAAGGACAGGAGGAAGAGGGAGGGACTCAAAGTATAATCCTCTCCTGGACTACCCAGACTTGAACTGGCATCAGCACCTTGGCCTTGACCCCTGGCATCCCTGCAGGGGGACCTAACCCTTGTTGCTCCCTGAGGGCTTGGGGCAGTGGGGATGGGGATCCTCTGCTTCCCTTCCTGTTCCTCCTCTGCAGGCTGATGCTGGGCTTCATGGGCGCCACCGCCTTCCTCTCCATGTGGATCAGCAACACAGCCACCACAGCCATGATGGTGCCCATTGTGGAGGCCGTGCTGCAGCAGATGCAGGACAGGAGCAAAGTCAGAAAAGGCAGCAAAGGCAGCAAAGGCAGCATGGGGTCCATGCAGCCTTCAGAAAATAGCAGTTCTGGTGAGCCGACAGGTGAGCTCCTGGCCAGGTGCTGCTGGGGTCCCCAATATCAGGCAACCCCTCTGTTTCCAAAAACTTTGGCCACCTCTCTGCCTCCTGGAGCCCACATTTAAGCAGGCATACAGAGAAATACTTAGAAACTGCTGTTTTTGTAACCTTTGGTGATGTAGTTATTGCAAGAAAGTTAAATTCATTAGTATTGCTTATAGCAAGATTCAACCTTTGGTTCCTTTAATCTCAGAAATCAATAGCTGTTCATTTGATTATGCATTTAAGCACCTTTTGAGCACTCACTGGGGGGCCCTCACCCATTTCTCTTCCTACTCATCCTCATGGAGGCCTCCCTGGCACAGGTCACACCTCCCATCTGTTCTCTGCTCACACAGGCATTGGGGTGTTCTTCCCATGCTGCTTTCCAACAGGCACTTTGCTCAGGGAACTCAGATGACACCTGATTTATTCTCTGCCTTGTTTGTACCCCATCCCCAGGGCCCAGCACATGGGAACTCAGGGCCCTTTCTGATGGCCTGATTGCCAGATCCTGGGGCAGGTCCTGGGGCTGCTGAGATGAAGTAGGCACACCCTATTTCCAACTCAAGAAGCCGGGTGGGGTGGGGAAATGAGGCCCCTCACACAGTTCTTCTGACTTGGGGGAAGCCATGGGATGCCATAAGCCAGACACTAAAGGAGCTCAGACAAGGGGGAGGATTGCTAGGAGGCACGGACATCTAAGATGGATTTAGACACCCCTCTGGATAAAGGGGCCAGCCAGAGCATAGGCTAGGAAGCAGGGAAGAAGGGCGTGTGTCTAAAGTGGCTGCATTTGCCCTGGGCATGGAGGAGCCTGGGGAAGCAGTGGGAAGTGACAGAGAAAGCAGGCAGAAAGGATGACACGGTTGGGTTGTGGGTTGAGAGGACCCGGGGAGGGAGCCTGCAGAGCCAGCACATCCCCACCTCAGGTCAGCAGCAGAGCTAGGAGCTGGAGCTGAGCCATGGCCCCCGGGGCTGGCTCTGCTTACGAAGGTGTGTCACTACAGGGAACCAAGTGATTTTTGAAGGCCCTGCTATGGAGCCGGAGGAGGATAGAGACAGGAAGAACATGTGCAAGGCCATGACACTGTGCGTGTGCTACTCGGCCAGCATCGGAGGCACTGCCACCCTGACCGGGACAGGACCCAACGTGGTGCTCATGGGCCAGATGCAGACGTGAGTCACTGGCCATGCCTTCTGGGGACAATGACTTGGGCCCTGGGTTGGAGGGACTCAACCTCCTCTCCCATCTCCTGAGCTGGGCCCTAGAGCTGGGGTCTGGCAGGGGTGGGAGGCTGGGCCCCCATCAGCCTCTGCTGCACCTGCTCAGAACTTTTCAGGGTGGGAGCTGATGACAGTCTTCACGCCTGGCTGCTTTCTCTCTTGGGTGCAGTATTTTCACTCAGACACGTCATATTATTGAACTCTGAACTAAAGTCATGGGAAGAGACATCATTTTAGATACTGGGTCCTTGTTTACAATTTGCTGAAATAGACACCCTTTAGATGCTCTCCTCAAAACTGGCTCACCAACTTTGGTCATAAATGGTAATGGCCCTATGATATTAGGGATCTTGAGATGCAATAAAGAGTTAGGGGTCATGCCGAAACCTGTTTGGCTCAGTGGATAGAGTGTCGGCCTGCAGATTGAAAGGTCCTGGGTTCGATTCCGGTCAAGGGCATGTACCCTGGTTGCGGGCACACCCCCTGTAGGGAAGTGCAAGAGGCAGCTGATCGATGTTTCTCCCTCATCGATGTTTCTAACTCTCTATCCCTCTCTCTCTTCCTCTCTGTAAAAAAAAAAACCAATAAAATATATATTTTTTAAAAAAAGAGTTAGGGGTCAGGCCATTCATTGCCTCATCAGCTCATTCACTACAGTTCCTCTCATTGCCCTTGAGTGGCCTGTGCCCTTGTGAGGCCACAGGTGGACCACAGTGGTGGTCTGTAACTTTCCTTGGCCACAAGGGGCACAGGTCTTAAGGTCCCAGTTGTGTGCTGGCCTTGTGCTGGGGGGAGCGGGGTGGGAGGGGGCTGGAATCACAGAAGTGGGGGAGACCTGGGCTCTGTCTGTGGGATATTCATGGTCTGCTGAGGTAGCGGATGCCTGGTGAGTTCTAGGCAGGACATGTAAATGCATGAAGGAAAGTACAGACGCAGTGAGCACAGAAAAGGAGAGAAGTATGACGTGCCCATCCTGTGCAGACAAGACAGGTGGGGTGGGAGGGCAGCTAGGAGGTGGGAGGGCAGGCATGGAGCCTGGCCAAGCAGATTCTTGAGGTCCACAAGCAGACTCTTCTGATCTTGTGATGTTTTCTGTAATGATAGCCTCGGGCTCTCCCTGGAGTTCCTGCTGAGTGCAGAGAGCTCTGTGTCTACTTTGACACCCTTGGGCTGAAGTGAGCAAGTCTGGGGATGGGAGGCAGAGCCTGGAGGGAAAGAGACCCTCCTCCAGTCCCCAGAACCCTGTCTGGTCCCACTGTGGGAGGCCTTTGAGATTGTTTTCCTAAGGGGGTCTTCCCTGGTAGAAGCCCACAGAATGAGGGTTCTGGGGCTTCTGTGGACCTCCTGATGCTATTGACCAAAGTACGTGTGTACAAAGCTGTCTTTTTCTGGATGGAATGGCTGTGACTTTCATGAGCTTCTCAACAGTGTCTGGACCCCCATGAGGGACAGTTGGTCAACCCTCCGGCTTGTATTGGGCTTGGCTATGTTCTGGGGCCACAATGATTAGGGTAATACTGGGCGGTGGGCATGGATGGCCGGACCTCAGGAGGATGAGACTCTGCTCCAGACCACCTCTCAGGGTCCAGCTACTGGTCATCTTGTATCTAACTTGCTCTGAGACTTGTATCCATCTTGACCTGCTTGCTCTGAGACTCAGCATCTGCTAGAGGTGTGGATCCATGTTTCTCTCTCCAGACTATTTCCTGATAGCAAAGACATCGTGAACTTTGCTTCCTGGTTTGAATTTGCCTTCCCCAACATGATGATCATGCTGCTGCTTGCCTGGTTGTTGCTCAAGTGTATGTTTTTGAGGTTCAGGTAAGTTTGAACTGCTTCCCAAATAGAGTCTAACCTGCCATGCCCTTGCAGAAGAACCGACAGTGGAATCCATAGAGTTCTTCCTGTCTGGCTCCATTTCCACAGCCCATCATCTGCAGTCTACCCTCTCATTTTGGCCACCTCAGGCTGCTCACTGTGCCTTTGCACATGCTGTTCCCTCTTTCTGGAATGCCATTCCCTATCTTCCCACCTTTCAATCTCCTTAGGCTTCAAGGCCAGTTCAAATGCTGCTTCTTTAGGCACACGTTTCCTGACTTTCCCCACCTCATTTCGTTGTGAAAGAATCCCCGCCTGCTCCTCTGGGCTTCCATGGGCACCCCATAGCCTTGACCCTCGATACCTGCAGCCATGTTCCAGTGCTGTCTCTGATCCCTGACCCCTGACCTGAGCTCCTTTGGGGCCTGTGGTAAGTTCTCTCTGTCCCCTGCTCCCAGCCAGGGAGAAAGGGTGCCATCAACGTGAGTCAAAGCAATTAAAGGGAATCTTGTCCCCGTGAGCAAATCGATACTCTGGACCAACTCCCACTTGGCCGTATGTGTCCATTGGGTCGGGCCACAGCACACCACCTGCCCATGTCCAGACTCTTCTTGAACATGTTCCCAGTAGCGTGCGAGTTCTGGGAAGTTTACCTTTCTCTTCCCTGTACACCCCAACCCAAGTTCACCAAGAGTCAACCTTGACAGCAGCTAGACTTTGGACAGAAACCCTGGTGTGTGTCTGACAAATACCTCAAAAACACTGGGTCCCCTTAGTGTTTTAAAAGACACACATCTATCTATGGAGCTAAGGGGACCCTCTCACAGGCATATGGGAAATGCTTAGCTGAGAGCGGTGTGCTCCCCTTAAATCACAGGCAGCTAGAGCCAAAGAGAAGGGGCTATCTGGTCACAGGGAGGAGATCTCAGAGCCGAGAGGCAAAAGTGCCCCCAAACTCAGGGAGTTAACAGGGGGAAAACGAGATTTCTGTAAGTTTTCTTCTGAAGGAGGAACTTGTTTGGAAACTGCAGTTAAAAGAAATCTCTCTCTATAATCAAAGTAGTCATAGTAATGACCTAATAATCCTCACATGCCACCGGTGTGCTGGCCTCACATGAGAGGGAAGCTGCTCCATGGGCTCTTGGGGTTCAGCCTGGCTTCGAGGGAAGCTCTTTGCCCTGCTTTTCACACCTGCTTCAGGACCAGTGGGTCCCAGGAGATGTGCCCCAAGGTGTCGCAGGCTGCAGGTGGTGTCCCTGCCTCTAATGGGGCCATAGGAATAATAATGACCAACATCTGTTGAGTTGCAGACACAACTTTAATATATTAATTAATCTTCACGTCACCCTGGGAGGTAGGTGACCTTATTATTCCCAGTTTATAAGTAAGGAACTGAGGCATGGAGAGGGGGAAAGGCTGCTCAGGGCTGTGTCACTTGGAAACGGTGGGACTGAGCTTTGAACACAGGCAGTTTGGCTCTGGAGCCTGTGCCCACACCCCTACATCCTTGTTTCAGTCAGTTCTGACTGCCATAGCAATGTGCCACAGACTGGGCGCTCCACTGCAGGCATTCATTTTCCACAGTTCTGGGGGTGCAAGTTCCAGATTAAGGTGCCAGCCGATTTGGTTCTTCCTGAGAACCCTCTTCCTGGCTTGCACATGGGAGACTTGCCTCCTGGACCACCTCACCACAGGCAGCACCTATCTCAGCTGTGGAACCATCTCTACTGGCCTTCACTTGGCTCTCTTATCTGGTTAGTCCTGGAGAGCAATGTCAGGGCCATTGCCTTTGGGCTAATCCAGGAAAACTATCTTTTTGGGTTTGTGGGTGAGTTCCTTGTCCACTTCCAGCCAAGGGGGCTACCACCCTCTCCCTCTTCACCCACCCCAGGACTACCCAGGACTTACACCAAACTTTCTTAACCAGGCGACCCCTGGATTAGGCATGAGGGCTTTCTGGGCCTCTGCCACAGCACAGGCACTTGGGACTCATGGGTCCCTTCACCTCTCCTTGGTGCTGTACTGGTTCACCCGCATCATCTGAAGGCCATCCCACTGTAGAAGGACACGTTGTACCCGTCCCACCTCTTGGGCTCACCCAGGCAAACTGGGTCCACTTGCCTGTATCTCGTGCCAGCCCAGTGATCACCAGACAGGGTTAACCCATGATGAGGGTGAAACTGCTCAGCATACGAGGGTCCCGAAGGCTTGCTGGCACCGTTGTGGGGGTCCAGTGTCGGACAACTGCACGTGCAGTGTAGCCCCCAGAGTGGACTTCCCCCAGCATCAGGCATGAGGGCAATGGAAGCTGGGAGCAGGAGTCAGCCCTTGTCCTGGAAACCTGGAGACTCTGGCCCACCCCGGAGCCTCAAGGATGACATGTGGCAGCAGGCTGATTCTTGGTCAAACAGACTTTCCCATGCCAAGGGGGCGAGAGGCTCCCTCCACCCCAGCAGTCATCTACCTGCTGGATGACCTAAGGGCTGTCCCCGGCAGGTGACTCTCAGGACACCCAGGCTTGGCCCTGGTCCAGCACAGAGACCCCGCAGGCTGTGCAGATAGGACACCCCATCACTGCCTCCTTCTTTCCCAGCCCCTGGGCATCCCTGTGTCCTGACCTTCCTTGATCTGTGTTCCAGGTATGCACCCTCATCACATCGCCCCCACAGGCAGGTCACATCCAGCCTTGGTTTCAGAAATGGGCATCTCAACACCAGTTCTACCACCCTCTGGCACCCCCCTCCCCCATGAAGTCTGACTTGGGGCCCAGGAAGGTCGCCCACAGGAAGGGCTACGCAGGGACAGTCCTCTTGGCCCACCCACCACCTTCAGGCTGATGCGCTGGAACATGTCCCTGGATTCTTCAGAGAATCCCCCAGGGCCCGGATCCTGGGCCCCAGTGGCCACAGTTTGCCCCTCCCTAAGGCTAACATACTCTATACATCTCCCAAGAATCTCTCCTTTATCCTGCATCCTCATGCCAGCAGCCCCTAGGGGAGGTCCTGCAGGGAATCCTGGGAGGCCATGTTAGCCAGTGGGCACTGGTGCCTAAGGAACCCATCCAAGATCAGGGCTGGGCTGGCTTTCTTCCTGCCATTGCCATGCCTCCTGCCTGCCTGTCTCCTGGGTTGGGATCCTTTACTTCCAGCACCCACCCTCCTCTTGCCTGGCTCAGTCTGCTTGTTCTTGGTGTCCACTCGAGCCACCTGATGATGGGGGCCGACATCCTGGCATCACTGAAGGCATCCCCAGGCCACCGTGGGAGAAGAACGATTTAGGGGGCATGCGAGGAAGTCTTGGCTCCACCCTGTGTTGCTCCAGAACTTCTCATGGCCATTTCCCAGGTGGCAGATGACAGGAGCAGCTGGTCTCCAGGCAACTGGGCACCTGCCAGGTCCCCAATGCCAGTGGTGGCTTCATTTCTGTTTGCCTCTGATGATCCTGCCCAACTCCCTCCCCCCCTCCTCATTCTGCTTAACCTCCCACCCTCTTGGCCATCCTCTCCTTTCCTGTCTCCATTGCCCCTGAGACCTGGCCAGACTGGACACCTCACCTGTGTCATCTCAGCCCTCCTCTGGGAGCATCTTCCAGTTCTGGGCATGTGCTAAGCACACATAACAGGTCCTGGGAGGTAGGGTGGGCAGGTGAGAGAGATGGAGTGGGGAAGTAATGTACTCAAGCACCCTCCACCCCAGACATTAGGCAGCACCATAATAGGCCTTTCTGCCATGTTCTATTGCCCAACATTCAGGCTTCCATCTGACCAGCCCCTGAGCCAACCAATCTGCTCCGTTTTTCTCTTATCTTTGCCTCCTCTAGTTCTAAGAAGGAATTCGGCAAGGAGGTAAAGCTTAGTGAGAAGGCCATGTATGAGATACTGAAGGAGGAATACAGGAATCTGGGACCCTTCTCCTTCGCCGAGATCAACGTCACGCTCTGTTTCTTCCTGCTGATCTTCCTGTGGTTCTCCCGGGACCCCGGCTTCATACCTGGCTGGGGGTCGATCACCTGGGTGGAGGGCAAGACAAAGTAAGTCATTGCTTTGGCAGCACCTGCCATGTCCTCTCTTGTTCTGTAGTTGAGTTCTGGAGCACTCTGTTGGTTTCCCAACTCAGTTTTTCATCAGTCTTTAGGACAAGTCCACAGATACAGTATGTCCCTGTAGTCCCTTCTTTCCCAACAGACTGAACAGAAAGTCCTTGGCCAGGCTGGTGGCTAGAGCTGTGATTGAGGGAGACTTGTTGGGTTAGAGTGGGGCTTCCAGAGATCTAGTTTCCAAATCTCTCCTCCATCATCTTTTCCCCTCTCATCCAGTGTTCAGGCGCTTCTTTAGGCAGAGACTTGGAAAAGGGGGGTATATGTAGTTTCTCTTCTGGCTAAGATGTTATATGGTTAGATGGAAGAAAGGCTGAGACACATACATATCTTAGAAAAGGCAGGAGATATGGGTCGAGAGGTAGCTGCCTATTACTGCTGTTTCCATTTTGAAGGTCTATTGGTGATCACCTGGTGAACCCAGATTTCTAGAGAATCTGGCCAAGAGGTCATGATGTCTACCCATGACAATACAGGAAGTGAGAGTGAAGTGAGCTGCTCAGAGTTGCCCAGTGTTGGTAGCAGAGCCAGGCCAAGGATGAGGGTTTCCAGCCAGAATTCAATCTACTCCTGATCTTGGCCTTTGGGGTGTCAGTTTGCAGGAGCACATAGACGAGGCACAGGTTTGTGGCATGGCTTCCTGCAGCTGAGTTGGCTCATCCATGTGCTCTCCCCATCTAGGTATGTCACCGACGCCACCGTGGCCATGTTTGTGGCCATATTGCTATTCATTGTGCCTTCACAGAAGCCCAAGTTCAACTTCTGCAAGCAGACTGAGGAAGGTAATGCCTCTGTCTTGGCCTCGCATTCATCAGGGTTGGGGGCCTGGTAGCAAAGGCTCTCCATGGAAGTCCCTGGGCTTAGGAGGGAGAAAAGCCCACACCATCAAAGAGGACTGGCAAGATTGCCGAGTCTGGGCAGAGGGCATTTTTCAAGCCCTCCCTGGGTATTGTTTAGTGCAAAATCTCTTTTGCTTTTTAAACATTTGAAATCATATTAATATTACATCAGGAACAGAAAAATGTTTTGAATTTCCCATAACACCATCAGTATTATTTTGTTTTCTCTCTTCTTACCAGTTTTTACTAATATGCATGTATATTATATGACTATAATCAAAACACACCATTTGAATCCTGTTGCTTTGTTGTTTATGTTTTCAAGTTTTTGACTGGGTTATTCTATAGACATTTCCTGCTCTTGCCTGAGTCTTCAAACTTATCTTCCCTAATAATGCATTGTATTGAGTCAAGGGGCTGTAACCCTTCTCCCATTATGGGACATTTTGTGTTCATGTGTCTAGCTTTTTTTTTTTTTTTTTTTTTTTTTTTTTTTTTTTTTTTTTAATGAATAACATCCCATCTATTTTACTTGCTAATCCTCACCTGAGGTTATTTTTCCATTGAATTTTAGGGACAGTAGAGAGAGAGGGAGAGATAGAGAGAAACATCGATGTGAGAGAGACATATTGACTGGTTTCCTCCTGCACGCACCTGGACCAGGGCCTGGGAACCTGCAACCAAGGTACGTGCCCTTGACTGGAAGCAAACCCCGGAACTTTTCAGTCCTTGGGCCGATGCTCTATCCACTGAGCAAAATCAGCTAGGACATATAGCTTATTCTTTGAAGGTGTTTCTTCTTCAGGATAAATTCCTAGGAGTGATATCAAATTGCTTTTCAAAAAGATTATATCAATTTATGTATTTATCATTATTAAATATATTTTTATTAATTTCAGAGAGGAAGGGAGAGGGAGAGAAAGATAGAAACATCAATGATGAGAGAGAATCATTGATCTACTGCCTCCTGCTTGCCTCCTACTTGCCTCCTACTGGGGATCGAGCCCACAACTCAGGCATGTACCCTTGACTGGAATTGAACCTGGGACCCTTTAGTCCCCAGGTCAATGCTCTATCCTCTGAGCCAAACCAGCAAGATATAAATTTATAATGATACCCAAGAGTGTGTGAAAGTTCTGCCATATTTTCACCAGCAATGGGTGCAGTAATTATTGTAAAATTTAGTTAATTTGTAGGTATGAGATGGTACTCATTGTCTGTACAGGCTTTTATTCCCCTAATCAGATGTCTTGGACTTCATCAGGCTGCTCTGGGTTGTGTATATGTGATTTCCTTGTTTCTTCTCAGAATGGGAGACTCCATTTTATCCGCCTGCACTGCTGGATTGGAAGATGACCCAGCAGAAAGTTCCCTGGGGCATTGTGCTGCTTCTGGGTGGCGGATTTGCTCTGGCTGAAGCATGTGAGGTAACTTCCCTGGTTGTGGGCTGCCCAGGGCGCCATTCTTTTACCAAAAGAGTGGCTAACAAACTGCTCCACCCCTGCACCCCTGCACCCCTGCATTCTGGGCTGGTTCTGTGCCAGTCCTCTCCATTAACTCCACATTTCTCAAGAATAGGCACTCTATCCGGTTATCTTGGAACCCTGGGCCATGAGTAGTGCCTAGGCTAGAGAAACACCCTTTGAGTGATTGCAGAAATAGTGAATATAGGTGACTCTGAGTTTGTGATGTGGCAATAAGGGTTTTCTCTGATTTCTTCTAGGTAAATTCTCCTTTCAAGTCCTTGTAGATATCTCCACCCTCACCTTTGGTTCTTCTACTCCCTGAACTCTTTGTTAATATGGCTGCCAGTTTAAAATTTTCTCTAGCTAAGTGTATAGCAGTGTAGAAGGAGAGGAACAGCCTTTGGGAAAAACCACCTCAAAAATGTAACTTTCTTACCTCTCCCCCTTCCATAATAGGGAATAAGTGAGCCACAGAGAGTGGTGAGCCAGCTATCCTCCATTCTTCATACATGCATACATCTGTCCATCAGTCCATTCACCCAGGAATAGAATGTGATAGATAGACTGGGACTAACTTGTTATTCTGTTTCCTCAGCATCTGGAACAGAGCCTGGTGCATGTCAGGTGCATCAGTATTTTTGGATGAACAAATCCATCCATCTAGTCACTTCTCTATCCAGCCATCCATCCACCTAGCATTCATTCATTTCACCAAACATTTCTATTATGGCCCTGTTAGTCCAGGCATGGGACTTACAGAGGAGATTGAAATAGGGTCCTGTTCACGGACCATCACAGACTACGGAGGAGCACATATATGGAAGAGCATTTCGTGAAAAGTGACACTTTGGTGAAGGAATAAGTGTGTGGTACCTAGCTGAGGATCAGAAGATGAGGCTGCTGAGGCTCCCAGAAGCCACTCCATGAGGGTCTTGAATTGAAGACAGGGAGTGTGGACTTAATTCTGCAGGGACTGAATTCAGGGGGCAGCCACTGAAGGGTTGAGGCCAGAGAGCAACTTCATCAGAACTCCAATTGGGAAAAATCACTTTGACATCTGGAGCAGAAGCCTGGACAGGGCCGGGTAGAGGGACACTCTATAGCTTTCATCCAATTCAGCCTCAATACTGGACTCCATGGACCATTCTCTCCTTGCAACTTCCTCTTCTTTTGGTCCCCAAGATGCCAATCTCTCCTGGTTTCCTTCTAACTCTGACTATTCCTGCTCAGGCTTCTTTACTGACTTTCCCTCTGTTCTCCCTTAAATATGAATGTTCTTCCAAGCTCTGTCCTTGGTAGCTTCTCTGTTCATTTTTCATTCTCTCCCCTGGACAATCTCTTCTCAGCCCAAAGCACCAAATCCAGATCCTAATCCCTATCTCAGATTTCTCTCCTGAACTTCAAGGACTGTGGGAGACTGAGAGGAAACAATGGACATGAAATGTTTTGGGTGGCTTGGTGACTAATTGGGTGGAATAAATGAGGGGGACAGAGATCCCCAGGATGACCCCTGGTCTTCTAGGTTGGACAGCAGGTAGATGGTGAATCCATGCACCAAGCTGGGGAGCCCGGGGAACCGTAGACTCTGAGTAGAGAGGATGAATGCTGGTTGGGGCATGTTGAGTCTGACACGTTCATGGACATGTGGGTGGAAATTTCTAGGAGCATGGATGTTGACATCTGGGTAGTAGACAAACTGGGCTAGAAATACAGAGTTTAGACACAGCAGAATAAGGATGGAGATTGAAATGGTGGGCATGGATGAGCTCACCTGTGGAATGTATGCAGAGAGAATAGGAAGGAGGGGAGAGGCTGAACGCCTAGAGAAAGATGGAGGAACTGTAGCCATTATCCTTTCAGTGACTGCCCTCATGGTGCTTTCCAGGCCTCAGGGCTGTCTGAATGGATGGGGAAGCAGATGGAGCCCTTGCAGATTCTGCCCCCAGCAGCCATCTCCTTGATCTTGTCCTCGCTCATTGCTGTGTTCACGGAGTGTACAAGCAACGTGGCCATTGCCAGCCTCTTCCTGCCCATCTTTGCCTCCATGGTAAGTAACCCTGCTGGGGGGGTGGGCATCCTCAGCTATTATTTCATAAGAAGCTACCCATGCATAACTATGTCCTAAGTCCTTAGGGAGGTCGTGAAATCAGGGGCCAGAGCCCATCCAGACTTTAAGACCTGGATCTGATAGGATTTATGTGCCTTTGATGACCCTGAGCCTGCCCTCAATTCTTTGCTGGTTCTTTTTTTGTATCCCCCATACTGGCCAAAGTGCTAAGCATAGTGCCAAGGAGGAGTGGACCAATGCCATGAGGGAATGATAGAGGGTCTCTGAGAATGTAGCACAGGTATGCAGGGGACTGCAGAGCAAGGGGACAGCACTGGCTAGGATCCAACAGGAGGAGGTCTTGGGAAAGGTGGGGCTTGGGGATGGTTTGGGGGAGAGGAAATTCTGGAAGGTGGAGAGTCCAAAGAAAGGAAGCGAGTGCATGACTAAAGACCCCCAGAAGCCTTGCATTGAGCCCCAGGATCAGGAATGAGTGCACTGTGGTCAAGCATGTTGCTGAGCTGGGATTTAGAAGAAAGCAGAGCCAATAGGAAAATCAGCTGTGATCTTTTTGTGCATTTGCTGCTGTCACTCATGACATGGCAATACTGACCTCCAGGTGGTACAAGAAGAGCTGGGGCCTTGGAGTCAGGAGACCTGAGTTCAGGTCCTGGGATCCTCAAACATGCCATTTATGTTCTTTCCTCCTGCACTTGTGCTGAAGGTCAAGTGAGATGATGGATTTTTCCTGTGAAAATCCTCTGTGGATTGCAAATAGCCTGAGAGAGGCTGAGGTTGCCATTCTGGAGTTGGGAGACAGACTTACAAAAACTGAGCACAGCCTTGCAGTTGGTAACTGCACCTTGGCTGCCAAGGTGTCCATGTGTATAAAAAGCAAATCTGAGTGGCTGTTCCTTTCAATCCAAGTGAAGATGAAAGTGTTAGGAATAGCAAGGTGGCTCACCTCCCCCTCCCCTAAGCAGGCTGCCCAGATCTTTGCCAAGGAGCATCCCCTCCTCTAATAAAGGCTGGGCTTTGTCTCCTCCAGCCCCAGCAGTGAGCCCAGAGGGCCCCAAGCTAGGCAAAATGAGGTCTCAACCTATGGGGGTGAGGGGGAAAGGGGATGCATTCCTAACACGCCTCCCAGGGCCAGAAGCCCAAGTAGGATTCCTTCCAGCTACCTCCCAGCCCACTCACACTCCTGCCTCAGGCCCCAGCTGTGGGAGAAGGGAAGGTGGTGTTCCTCCAGCTGGGTCACAGAACCACATGGGGCATACATACCATGGGTACTCAGAGCCAGGACAAATGGGGAAACCAGGAAATAGACTGGGCCTCTGACTGGGACCTCTCTGGTTCTCCCAGAAGGAGTGGGACTTGGTACAGCCTTTCCAGAGACCTGTTGACCCACAGGAGCCCTAACCTAAAACCTGTTCTCACACCCTTTGACTGAGCAATGCATGCCTGGGAACATGTCTTAGAAAACCATCAGAGATGTCTACACTCATATACAGTTGATTGTTGAACAACATTGCACAATAGAAAGTCTATGTATAACTTTGGACTCCCCAGAACTTAACTACAGCCCCTCAGGATCCTTGAGGGATTGGATCCAGGACCTCCCTCAGGTACCAACACCTGCAGTTTCTTAGGTCCCTTGTATAAAGTGGCGTAGAGCAATGCATGTGTTTGGCCCTCCACATTGTGGATTCCCATTTGATCCACAATTGGTTGAATCTGCAGGTGGGAAACCTGGGGATATGGCAGGCTTAGTGTACATTTATTTTTAATGTTTTAAAAAAATATATATTTTATTGATTTCAGAAAGGAAGGAAGAGGAAGAGAGATATATAAACATCAAAGATGAGAGAGAATCATTGATTGGCTGCCTCCTACAAGCTCCCCACTGGGGACTGAGCCCACAACCCAGGCCTGAATCAAACCTGGGACCCCTCAGTTCACAGGCTGATGCTCCATCCACTGAGCCAAACCGGCCAGGGCTGTACATTTATTTTAAAAAATCAACATGTAAGTAGACCCGCACATTCAAACCACATGTTCAAGGGTCAACTGTCACAGAATTATTCATGATAAAATATTTCCATAATAGGGGATTGATGAAACAAGTTCTATACTCACACAATGAAATATTATCAAATCAATTTTAAAAAATCAACTTTTAAAGGGCAGTTTAAAAAATGGAAATGTGCATAATTTTTAAAATTCTCACCTGAAGATATGTTTATTGATTTGAGAGAGGAAAGAAAGGAGACACAGAGAGAGAAACATTGATGTGAGAGAGAAACATTGATTGGCTGCCCCCATACATTCCCCAATTGCAACCTAGGTATGTGTCCTGACTGGGAATTGAATCTGCAATCTATTTTGGAGGTATGGGACAATGTCCAATCAACTGAGCCATCCGGCTGGGACTAAAATTTTTTAAAGTTGAAAATGTAATACAAATGTCAAATAATACCAAAGAGAATAGGTCCTACCCTCTAGCTTCCACCTAGAGACAACTTCTGTTATTAACTTCTTAGGTATCTTTGTAGATGTAATACATACACACACACATTTTTTTAAAAAACAAATTGTATCATTCTATGATCCTGTTCTGCACCCTAAATCTTTAAAAATCTAACGATAGGTCTTGGAGATCTTTCCATGCTAGCACGTAAAACCAGTAAGTTTTTCCTTGCAGCTGCAAAGTAGTCATTGTGTATGTACATATTTTATTTGACCATCCTGCTGCTGATGGCCACTGAGTCAGTTTCCTGTGTGTTTTGCTGTTATGTCACAATGGACATCTTTGCATATGTATCTGCCCTCATGTGTTTGTAAGTCTGCGTGCTAGATTATTAAATTTGTTAGGCATTAACAAATATTATGAGTCATATTATGATATAACTCATTTATTTAGCAAATACTTAATGAGTGTCTGTCTACTCTGGGCTGGGTGCTGTTTGTTACATGTGGCTGAATTTTAAGCTTTAGAGTAAAAGAGATGGATACCAAATTCCATATTCAAAATGATTCCAAATGTGTACAACAACACATGCATACACTGATGTATCTATAGGTGATATGTGGTCCCTGCCCTCTAGGCCCCAGCGATCTGTGGCAGAGCACAAAGGTGTGTGCACAGGTGGGCTGCAGTAACACTCCCAGATTCAGTGCAGTCTAAGTGGCCAGCATGGTCTTTGGCACATAGTAGGTGCCCTAGAGCTATATGTTGAATGAATGGAGGAGGTTCAGAAAGGCCTCCCGGGAAGGTGGCTCTGAGCTCAGCCTTTGGGGTCCAGCAGAGTTACCACCAGAGGCATGGCAGAGAGTAGAGCCGCCAGAAGGACCAAGGCGTGGAGGTGGGAACTCGCACAGTACAGGAGGGGGATGCTTTCAGAGTGGTGGTCCCAGGGCTTTTGTTTTCTGTCTATGTGACACTGCAGTGCTGTGTTTCCCCCCAGTCACGCTCCATTGGCCTCAACCCGCTGTATGTCATGCTCTCCTGCACCCTGAGTTCATCCTTTGCCTTCATGTTGCCTGTGGCCACCCCACCTAACGCCATTGTGTTTTCCTACGGACACCTCAAGGTTTCTGACATGGTAATGCAGCTGCTTTTATTTACTCCTACCAGCTCTGATGCTTTTGTCATGAGGGAAATGCTATTTATTAATGACTTGTGATGTTATGTAATTTGGGGATATCACCCAAAGTCCAGCCCTATCCTCATTATTGGCATTTATGTGCAGTTTTTACTCTTTTTTTAAGATCATTTCACATTTTATACTGTCCTCTCTCCCAAAGCTGAGAGGTGGGTAATAGAATCTTCCACCAAGGAAGCCCTCCCTGAGCACTTGTAAGGGGTGAGGGTGGGGTCCCACATGGCCAAGATGGACTTCACCAACTAGCAAGAACCCATAAGGACTGGCAGGAGGAACTAGGCCGAGATGGGTCACAGGGGTGGATACCAATGACAGAGATTGACTGACAGAGGTGTCTGCAGGCGTAGAAGCAGGAACAGGGGAAGGCAGTGCCTGGGGGAGATGGGGCCTTGTAAACAGATGCAGCTGGCGGAGGAACTCTCTTAAGTTCTACTTGGGCTCTATCGTCTCTGCCAGTAGAGGGGCTGGTCTCAGAGGGGGACAGGCAAAAAGGGAGGGTCCTCCCTCAGTCCAGTCAGGTGTGAGTGATTTCAGAGCCTCTACTGGGTAGCTTTGGGAGTCTGTGGAGCATTCTTAGTAAGAAACCATGGACCACAAACTCAGTTCAGATCCCCAGTGAAGAACCTGCATAGGGCTTGGAGCAGTGGTTAGTGAGCAAGAAGAATGTCCTGGCGTCAGAAAGAGCCAGGGAGGTTTTAGAGAAACCAGCAGGTGTTCTGGGGATGCGAAGGTGCTGGGGTGAGCACAGGCCCTAACGTCAGACCTCAGCTCCCCCAATATTTTTTCTGAGTGGCCTGGGGTGTTGCCTCATGCCCCTCCATAAGGCCCAGTGTTGTAAACATACAAGCAGGCAGAGACCCCGCCATCATGCCTGTTTCCCAGAGATGCTTGAGCACCGATGACACTTACTGGCTTTGAAATTGCTCTGTCTGTGGGGTAGGGTGACCATAGAGCATGGCCCAGGGATGGGGGTCCAGCAAACCAGCCTGCAGCCCCTTCTCCAAGAGCACTAGTTTCCTTTCACCTCTGTTCTGAATCCCACTCACCTGCAGGTGCTGACTCTTAGCCCTGATCTTTCCCCAGGTGAAAGCAGGATTACTGATGAACATAATGGGAATCATCTGTGTGTTTGTGGCGATCAACACCTGGGGACGGATCATATTTGACCTGAACAATTTTCCTGACTGGGCTGCCATCTAGTTACAGTTAGGAAGAGCCACAGCCCTGCCTTCCTGAGAACTCCCGAAGCTTCTGGCACACCGTACAGCAGAGCTTTGGAGTTGACACTTCAAAGTGACCTGATGATGCCCTCACCCCACAGAGACCCAGGCTCGGCTCCTAGCTGGGAACCGGTGGCTGGAGTGTAGGTTTGGGAATAAAAGGAACCTCCCAAGGTGCATGTGGCTTCCATCTTTCTGGGAAACCTGCCACTACCTCTGAGAGGGGCATGCTGCACAGAGACCAGGAGGACAGCTCTTGGCCCAACTCAGCCTTGAGCTGGCCCCACGCTGGGTTCTGATGTCCAGTTGCTTAGTCTCAGGGTCATCTAAATGGGAATCAGATCCCAGCTTGGGAGGTGAAAAATGACCTTCCAGACCCTGCACCTCTTGCTGCTGACCTTGAGCTGCCTCAGATCACTCCTGTCACTTGGAAGGGACAACCCAGCCCAGGGACAGAATGTCTGGTCCTGGAAGCTTCCTGCTGCTGGAGTGAGAGTGGGACTCGGAGCCTCCTGGAACCACCAGGAGTGTAATGCCAACACCCAAGGATGCGGGATTTGAACTGATAACTTCCGGATGACGTCACCCATGGTACATCACGGGCCAACCAGCTCCCCTCCTTACCTTGCTCCATTGGACTGACAGTTCAGAGCCCTTTCCCAGCTTTCTAGAGCGCCTCCTTCACCTCCTAGGTCCCTTCGTTGTCTGGGCCAACATTTACTGGGATCTCCTTGCTGGGGCCCTCTGACCCCCCCCCCCCCCCCCCCCCCTTCTCTCCCAGGCAGCTCAGCTTGGCTCTTCTGGGAGTGGGTCTTCCTGCCACCCCACACCGTTGGGATCACACTCCAGGTATGGGAAGGGTGGCTTCTTTGGGAACACAGTCAGATATCTAGGTCCCCCTTCACCTGAAGGCACAGAGTGGATACAGCTGTGAGCTACCTAGAGCAGCGTCCCTTTGGAGTTTGTCCTTCTAGAGTTGGAGCTCCCCTGGGGAAAGCCTTCCTTTTGCTGACTGGCCTTCATAGCCACACCTGGTGGGGACAGAGCATCGCTGAGAATGAGCAGTGCTTGGTCCCTGAGCAGACAGCCCCTGCCATGAGTGAACCTGTATGAAATTGCTGGAGCAAAGACCTCAGAAAGACTGTGGGAACCCTCAGAACCCCTGTGAGTGAGACATGAGAGATGTCCATCCCCTTGCCCGGCAGCCCCATTTTCTTTCCTTGTGCTGCTGTGGGAGAAAGGCCAAAGCAGATAAGTGATGGTGTTTTTCAGGGCGGGAGAAAGTATGGGAACCCAAGGAAACCCTCTCAAGGGCCAAGCATGTGCCTGGTTCCTTGGGTGGGCAGATTCTTGGCCACCACATCTGCTTCCTATAAAAAGATGCCAGGTGCTGACTATCTGGCATTCCAGGGTGGGCAGGGGCAGGCAGATGAATGAACACTTATCGTCGCCTACCTCCTGTCAAGCTCCCTGTACCTGGTGCAGCCACCACTTATCTTATTTGACCTTATCTCACCCACCATGTATCTCAGCAGCCCTGTGAGATAGGCAGGTGATAGTATCCTTGTTTGTCTTTCAAGAACCTGAGGCTCTGAGAAACCAAGTAAGTCATGTGTCCTATCACACATCTAGTTAGTTAGTAGCACTTAGGGTTCCAATCCAGGTCCTCAGTCTCCAAGTCCACTGCTCCTTTCTCGAGTCACCAAGGGCCTTGGCCTTCTAAGGCCTGTGTGGGAAAGTGAGTGGCCAAGAGCAAGTCCACCCAAGGCCCTGCCTATTCAGGGAAGATCACCCAATAAGAGCCCCTTTCTGCCGCCTCCTCTGAGATGGGCTCAGGACACTTGGGGCAGACAGAGCAAAAGAAGCAAAGCATTTTATCCATCCTGTCATTTCTGGTCTCTACCCAGCTGCTCTGGACACATCTGCCACACCAGTCTGAGGGCTTCTGAAGACTTACCTTGCCTGCTGTGTCCAATGGCAGCTCTGTGACTAACCCAGGGCAGGCCACCATAAGTGTGATTAGTAAATAAATAAGTGATCGGGCCCAATCAGCATACATCACTGGTTGAGTATCTACCTACTAACCAGTAGGTCATGATTTAATTTCTGGTCAGAGTACATGCCTGGGTTGAAGGCTCCATCCCCAGTAGGGGCGTACAGGAGACAGCAGATCAATAATTCTCATCATTAATCTCTCTCTCCCTTTCTCTAAAGATCAATAAAAATATATTAAAACATGGACAGAAAACAAATGACCGCTGTGGTCAATTGGATGCACATCTTGGGATAGTGGGCAAGGTCAGTGAAGGTCATTCAAGGTACACCTTGAAAGAGGAGGAGGACTGGCCAGGCTGATGAGGGCATGTGGTGTGATGGGTGGAGGATTCTACCGGACTCCATCTGTTTGATGGCTGACAAGCAAGCGGGGTGGGGGCTTCACAAGAGCAGATCCCACGGCTGGGGAGGCTGAATTATAGGCTGTTTCTATACAACTTCTCTTGAAGTTGGTTGGAGTTACACCAACAGTTATGGCCAGTGCCAAAAAGGGTTGCTTTTGGCTACCAGTAAGAGAGACATCTAGCTGACGCTAGCTTAAACCATAAGGGCATTTAATGTAACAAGAAGTCTGGAGATAGACAGCTGCTGATGTTGATCCAGCCGCTCACTCAGGCCACCAAGGGCTTGGGCTTTACCATCCACTCTGCCATTCTAAGGGAGTTTTGCCTTTCTCTACTCTCACGCTTGACCCTCATGCTACGTACACATCTGTATTGAAGGCAGGAAGAAAGAGGCTTGGGGTGGGGGCATGAAAGTGTCTGCTTCGCTCCCAGCTCGAGGGCCCGGTGGCGGCGCCCCCACGCTCGCACCATGTCGTGGCGCAAGCAGGCGAAGCCGCAGCACATCCACGCCGAGGAGGAGGCGGTTCGAGGCCGCAGAGGCGCCAGCGGCGGGGGAGCCGGGTGCTGCAGCGAGCTACGCGGGGACCGGCGAGGACACGAGCGGGGACAGGGCGGCCGTGAAGAGGCCGCGCCAGGAGACGCACATCTGCGAGAAATGCTGCGGGGAGTTCTTCAGCGTTGCCGAGTTCTTAGAACATAAGAAAAATTGCACTAAACACCCACCTGTCCTCATCATGAACGACAGCGAGGGGCCGGTGCCTTCCGAAGACTTCCCCGGGGCCGGGCTGAGCCACCCGCCGCGCAGCCCCAGCATTAAGGAAGGTCACAGGGAGGATGGCAGCAGCTCGGGGGACATGAAGGAGAAGCCAGGGGCGGAGCCCGTCTTGTACCTGAAGACGGAGACCGCCCTGCCGCCCACAGCCCAGGACTTGAGCTATTTACCCAAAGGCAAAGTGGCCAACACCAACGTCACTCTGCAGGCACTGCGGGGCACCAAGGTGGCCGTGAACCAGCGGAGCGCAGACGCGCTGCCCGCCCCCCTGCCCGGCGCCGGCAGCCTCCCGTGGGTGCTGGAGCAGATCCTGTGCCTGCAGCAGCAGCTGCTGCAGCAGATCCAGCTCACCGAGCAGATCCGCGTCCAGGTGAGCATGTGGGCGGCCCAAGCCCTGCACTCCGGCGCCGCGGGGGCCGACGCCCTGAAGACCCTGGGCGGCCACGTGTCCCAGCAGGTGTCCGCAGCCGTGGCTTTGCTCAGCCAGAAAGCGGGGAGCCAGGGTCTGTCCCTGAACACCTTGAAACAAGCCAAGCTACCTCATACCGGCATCCCCTCCGCCACCAGCTCCGTGTCCCTGGGGCTGCTGTCCTTCGCCCTGCGGCCAGATGGAACCAGGGTGCTCCCGAACCGCATCCCAGGTGCTCTGCTCCCCTCGACCCCCAGCTCTGTGCTCTTCCAGAGCCCCTTCTCCGCGGTGGCGCTAGACCCGTCCAAGAAAGGGAAGGGGAAGCCACCCAACGTGTCCCCGGTGGATGTCAAACCCAAAGACGAGGCCACCCTCTACAGGCACAAGTGTAAGTACTGTAGCAAGGTTTTTTGGGACTGATAGCTCCTTGCAGATCCACCTCCGCTCCCATACCGAAGAGAGACCCTTCGTGTGCTCTGTCTGTGGCCACCGGTTCACCACCAAGGGCAACCTCAAGGTACACTTCCATCGACACCCCCAGGTGAAGGCGAACCCCCAGCTGTTTGCCGAGTTCCACGACAAAATGGCAGCCGGCAATGGCATTCCCTGTGCACTCTCCGTACCTGTCCCCGTAGACGAATCAAGTCTCTCTCTGGACAGCAAGCCTGTCCTGGTCACAGGGACCCCCAGTGCAGGTCTACCTCAGAACCTCTCTGCGGGGGCTAACCCCAAGGACCTCGTGGGTGGCCCCCTGGTCCCCGACCTGCAGCCTGGGCCTTCTCCGGAAAGTGAGGATGGATCCCTGCTCTCTGGGGTGGGGCCCAACCATAACTCCCCCAGGGTTGGTGGCTTCCAAGGGATAGGGACGCCCGAGCCCGGGTCAGAGACCATGAAGTTGCAGCAGCTGGTCGAGAACATTGACAAGGCCACCACCGACCCCAACGAGTGTCTCATTTGCCACCGGGTCTGAAGCTGCCAGAGTTCCCTCAAAATGCATTACCGCACCCACACCGGGGAGAGGCCCTTCCGCTGCAAGATCTGTGACCGACCTTTCTCCACCAAGGGCAACCTGAAGACACACTTCGGGGTGCACCACACCAACACGTCCATAAAGACGCAGCATTCGTGCCCCATCTGCCAGAAGAAGTTCACCGATGCAGTAATGTTGCAGCAGCACATCCGGATGCACATGGGTGGTCAGATCCCCAACACGCCCCTGCCGGAGAGTCCCTGTGACTTGGTGGGCCCCGAGCTGGTGATGGTGGGGGAGAACGGTGGCACGGGCGCCGTCTGTCACGACGACATTGTCGAAAGCATCGATGTGGATGAAGTCGGCGCCCAGGATGCTTCCAGCAGCTCCTCGAAGGTGCCCATGCCTCTTTCCGGCATCCACCTGGCATCGCCCACGGCGGGGTTCACCCTGGTGGCCCCCCTGGAGGCCTCGGGGAAGGCGGGCCCCGCTCCCGGGGTCCTGCAGCGGCAGAGCAGCAGAGAGAATGGCTCGGTGGAGAGCGACGGCCTGATCAACGACTCCTCGTCCTCCGTGATGGGGGACCAGAAGTATCAAAGCCGCAGTCCAGACATCCTGGAGGCCCCCTCCTTTCAGGCCCTCTCCCCGGCCAACAGCCAAGCAGAAAGCATCAAGTCCAAGTCTCCCGAGGTCGGTGGCAAAGCAGACGGCTCGGACAGCAGCCGCCCTGAGATGGAAGGTCGGAGAGCAGCCTCCCGTCAACATTTGTCCGAGCCCAGCCGATGACCTTTGTCAAAGTCGAAGTTCCTGGTGCGTTTGGGCCCGCAGCCATGTCCCCAGGCATGGCGCCTCTGCTGGCGGTCCAGCCACGCCGCCAGGGCAAGCAGTACGCCTGCACACGGTGCGGGAAGAACTTCTCGTTGGCCAGCGCCCTCCAGATTCACCAGCGGACGCACACCGGGGAGAAGCCCTTCGTGTGTAACATCTGTGGGCGAGCTTTCACCACCAAAGGCAACTTGAAGGTTCACTACATGACCCACGGCGCCAACAACAGCTCCGCGCGCCGCGGGAGGAAGCTGGCCATCGAGAACACCATGGCCCTCCTGGGAACAGACACGAAGAGGGTCCCCGAGGTGTTTCCCAAGGAGATCATGGCCCCTTCCGTGAACATGGACCCCGTCGTGTGGAACCAGTACACCACCATGCTCAACGGCGGCCTGGCCATGAGGACCAACGAGATCTTGGTGATCCAGGGCCAAGGCATCCCCACCCTCCCGGTGCCCCTGGGCGCCAGCTGCGTGCTCACCAGCCCCACCGTCTCCAAGATCGATGGCTCCCAGTCGGGCAGCAGCGGCGACGGGGAGAAGCCAGGGCTGCCGAAGGTGTCCCCAAACACCAGTTCCCTCACTTCCTGGAGGAAAACAAGATTGCGGTCAGCTAAGCGACAGGCGGGCTTGTGAGGGAGAAATGCAGAGTGACCGTGTGGACTGGCCTTTTGTTTTTGTCGTTGTTGTTTAAGAACCCATCTCCTCCTGTTTGTATTTTTTTACTGATGTGCAAATGTTTACAGTTGTGACCACAACCTCAGGCACATCCAACAATCACGATGTTGCTATGCTGCTTTGCTAAAAACAAAAACAAACCAAAAACACACATATTAAAGCAAATACAGATTAGTATTTCTCTCTTTTTTTTTTGATTTTGGAAGAAGCGGGTCTTGCAAAGTAGCTTTGTTACTTGAGACAAACTGTATATATATGAAGACTTTGTATAAGCTAGAGGAACTGTTTCCAAAGATTGTCCCCTGTTTCAAGTTGGAACTGACTAAACCGCGATGGGATGGGGAGGAAACTGCTTAGCCTCACTGGGGAGGGGAGCTGCGACTTCCGGTGACTGCGGGTAAATGGACCAGGTCTGTTGTTCTGGTGACCTGCTTTGTATGTCCCCCAACCCTGCACCCATCCTTCGTTTTGTCTTCTTTTTTGAATGTACTTTTTTTTTCTCCTCCTTTTTTTAACTAAGGTGCGGAATTACAAAATTCCTTCCACCTTGGGACCATAGTAGGATGCCCTCCGAGGGACGATCTTAGTCCCTCGGGAGTCAATGTGTGTGTTTCTGCTTGTTGAAATACAGTTCAGTTGGAGCCCTAAGAGTGCCAATGTATTCCCCGCTTCCGGATGCTGCCTTCCTGAGCACCAGGACAGGCGGGCACTGAGCAGGGGACCTCAGGTGACTTAATGTAGCTCACCAGTGCCTACTCCAGCGAAGAAATGAGTCTTGCATTCTTCAGAAACTCATGGAAGGGCATGTTTCTGATTAGAGGTTTGCCTACTAATTTTTACAAAAACTTTGATGTGACTTATGCCAAGTAATTGTGAAGATTCTTTTCCCCCGTGAGTATTGCATGAAGGTTACGAAGTTGGAACAGGCGAGTCCTGAGTATGAAAGCTTTAATTTATCTACCTCATTTATTTTTTATTTTTGTAGCTTTAGTCTCTTTTCCTATTTTATGACCGCTGAAAGTGTTCCCAGTCCCTGTCTTAAACCTAAGAGTTGATGATGGTGGGAGCTGCTGGACCTTCAAGATGTTTTGTGATTTTTTCAATCCTTTTTTTGCATATGTAATAAGCAAATGCTGAAACTTTGCTGTGATGGTTTAACGAGGAGGAAGAAGGAAAGACCATGGTTTCTGGGTGAAGGGGTCTTTCCCTCGATGCGGAAATGTACATCAAAATGTATCAAAAGCTGGTCTCTGAGTTATTGCACCTGAGTTCAGGATATTAAAAAAAAATGTGTTTTTTTTGCCAAGTTGTGCCTTTCCTTCTGAAATTGTAAATGAACACAATACTAGAACCTGTTTATACTGTGAAGTGGATGTTGTTACAGAGGACATGCCGGAGGCTTTCTCACTGTTATGCCTTGTGAATGTACGATCTACGGAGAAAACCTTGTAGTTTTACCTGCTGATCTGACTGTTGGAAAATAAATTTTGGTATTTTTCCCCTCAAAAAAAAAAGAAGTGTCTGCTTCATCTTTCCCTTTTATTAGGAAAGCAAAATCTTTCTCAGAAGCATCTACAGAATTCCCTTCATGTCTTATTGGCCAGAAGCCAATCACTGACAAAGGGTAATTGGAATACCATGAGGCCAACTAGGGCCCATCTCGTGGGCTTGGGGAACTGGCCTATGCTTCCCGAAATGAAGAGATTTCTACTCACTACAAAACCTGGGCTCTGATAGGAACAAAGAGGGGGAGCTATTGGGTAGGTGATGTCCATGATCGGGTGCTGTGACCCTTTCAGAGGAGCCCTTACCCCAGGCTGCCTGAGTGGCTCCCTTTCCATGGAACTCAGTAGAAGCATGTCCCTAGGAGGGAAGAGAGTCCATGGTTGTCGGGTCAAGGGCTTCGCTTCAGCTCTGCTTCCAGTTCCCAAGGCCAGGACTCCCCAGGAGACCCACTGGATTGGGAGGCTAGAGCCTGAGTCATGAACTGAGCTTGGTCCCAGCATCTGACACAAGTCAGTCCACGCTCTGGCCTCAGTTTCTATCAGGAAGGGGCTGGACCAGAGGATGTGTAAGTCCTGTCTCCCTTACCCCATCTGGTCCTCCATCTGCTTGGGCCAGATGAGGTCCCCATGCTGTCTCAGGGGGACTCTGTTGCACAGCCCACCCTATGTCCATCCGGGTCTTAGCCATTTGCTGAAAACCCCTTCAGACCTTTTCCTAAGGACCTATCTTGCCTCTTACACTTTGTCAAGTGGTTCAGCTAAGACCCTTCAGTTTTCTCTAAGGCAAGCGTGTCAAACTCAAAGGCTAACACAGGCCAAATGAATGAGGTATGTGGCCTGGGGACTGCGAGTTTGACATGCTTGCTCTAAGCAGTGGTCGGCAAACTCATTAGTCAACAGAGCCAAGTATCAACAGTAGAATGATTGCAATTTCTTTTGAGAGTCAAATTTTTTAAACTTAAACTTCTAACACCACTTCTTCAAAATAGTTTTGCTCAGGCTGTGGTATTTTGTGGAAGACCCACACTCAAGGGGCCAAAGAGCCGCATGTGGCTCGAGAGGCTGCAGTTTGCCCACATGGCTCTAAGGCATCTGGATCAGACATTTGGGCCAAGCTTGGCTGAACACAGAATCCTAACCAGGACTGCTCTCAACTGTGTTGCCAGGAGCCCACACGGATCCTATGCATTCCAAAGATCAGGACCCAGGGTTCCTGTCCCTCTGATCTCCCAATTGGGATCCTTCCCTGCCCTCTGAGCCGAGAACTTCCTTAGGGAAAGGCCTGCACCTCCCTCTCTGGCAGAACCAGGGAGCAGGGCACCTCCTGGGACACGTGAAGTTCTCTCTCCTCCCTACCATCTCACACACCAACGAAAATAATGGATAGTGAGGTGTTTGCTCTGGACTTCAAGCAGGGAATCATGTCAGTAGCGCAGTCCAATTCTCAAAATCAATACGGGCATTCCTGGGTAAGGCCCTTAACGACACATTCCTGTTTGTAGAAATAAAGACCAAATGTTGGTCAATTAAGAACCAGACCTTGCATCCTAATCTTATCAAAGAACCCTCTCCCCCTACTCCCACAGCCTCTGAAAGCTTTGTCTCCCAACCCACCAGGAAAGTGTCTTTTCATATTAAAAAAAAAAAAAAAAATCCATCAAGAGGAATCTTCCTTACCATGGGATGGGTTTTCACATTCCTTCACAGAAAGCTTATCATTTCAGGCTAAAATCTGCAATCAGATATTCTGTTTCTTTCCTTGGGTGTTGTGAATCAGGGCTCTCGTTCTCACTTCCCAGCCCAAGGAATGTTCTCCTGGATCTGCTTGTTCAAACACCCCCTCCACCCTCAGAGACACAGGCCGTGACCCTTGGCCGTTCCAAAGCAGAATGTAGGCCCTGCTTCCAGCTGTGGAGGGCAGGGGAATACTCAAATTCAATCTCGGAACATCCTGTCAGCCTATCAAGAGACTTAAACTAAAAAAAAAATATATATATATATATATATATATATATATATATATATATATATATTTTATATATATAATAAATTTTTATTATATATATATATATATATATATAAATAAATTTTTTTCATTGATTTTTTAGAAACAGAGGAACAGAGATATTAGATAGATAGCAACATCGATGAGAAACAGCATTGATAGGCTGCCTCCTGCACACCCCCTGCTGGGGAAGGAGCCTGCAACTCAGTTATGTGCCCTGACCAGGATCAAATGATTAACCTCTTGGTTCTTGGGTCAATGCTTAACCATTAAGCCACGTCCCACTACTGGGGATCAAGCCCGAATACCAGGCATGTGCCCTGACGGGGAATCAAACAGGTGACCTCTTGATTCCTGGGTCAATGCTCAACCACTGAACCACACTAGCCAGGCTTAACTATTTTTTTTTCCAGCAAAAATATAGATTATATATATTTATATAAATATTAGGAACATTTCCCTCACCCACCCCAGTAACATGGTTCTTAGTATTTGATTTTTTTTTCCACACACTATAGGGAATTTTTACATACATTTCAGCCAACAAGTTTTGATCTACTGGCTTCTTGGTGCAGTAACGCAATGGCAGTCCCCTCTGGTGCCACAGGCTCATAGGACTACAAGGAAGCTATTAACACTCATTTCTTAGGAGGTGAGGCCAGCCCCCCAGCAACTTCTCTTGTATCCCTCTGGTCCACCATGATTCATAATACTTAGAATTTTTTCTCCTCACGTGAATCATTAGACGTTAAATATGGAGCCACAGAGTCACAAAGGGCCCCAAGCTTTTCAGCAGAAAGCATTCTCCCTCACTAGGCAACTACCACGGCACAGACCTGATGGCCTGAAAATCTGCTCCAGATGTTAGTCAATATTGTCTGTATGTGATTGTGAAAAAGTCTCCCTTAAAAAAAATCCGAAGTGCATAGTGAGAACAAATCAAAGCTTTTTTCTTTTTTTTTTCTTTTCAGCTTCAGTTTCACCGAAGCATCTTTCTAAGCGAGGACTACTCAGATGCCTTGCCTTTGTCCTCCGCACCATCCAAAAATAAAAAATTTAGTAAAATAAAAAATAATAAAAATGATAAGCAATTGAGACATTCATCAGCCTGCCTGATAAACAAACTTTGCCAGCAAACACAAGTCCTATCAATTTAAAGAAAAGTTGACAAGACAAAAAGTACCTACGATGACCCAACTACTGTGCTGTTGGGTAATTGATAAGGTTGACCTCTGACTTCATGGATGTAAAATCCTATTGGGAATATCAGGGCAGCCACACAGAAAAGGGTCATTCCAGGGAATGCTACCCATCCAGCATATTTTGTAGTTTCTCTCCGCCAGTTGAAAGCCACAAGCAAACCACACGTGACAGTCAATGAAATGACTCCCATGATGATAAAAAAAAAAAAAAAAAAGTGTGGGGACCC